CTGGCACCAGCACAACCCCAGTGTCCACTACAGCCTTTGGAACCAGCATAACCCCGGTGTCCATCATTGCCACGGGCACCAGTATGAGCCCAGTGGCCACCATGGCCACTGGCACCTTCATGACACCTCGGGATGTGTGGGAGAGGAGCATGAACACATCCAGGGGAAGCCTCCCCTCTGCCAAGGACAACGCTGCTGAAACGGACTCCCTGCTCTGGCAGTAAGTATGAGGACATGTCCCCCTTGGATGAAGCCCTGGCACCCAGGGGCTGTCCTTGCCCTAAGCCCTCTCTCTGTCCCCAGCTGTCCCCGGGAGCAGCTGAAGGCCCTGCCACGGGCGGAGCTGGAGGGGCGGCTGGAGAGCACCCTCATCATCATCGAAGCCCTGTCGCTGCAGCTGCGTCACTTGCAGGACAGCCAGCGGCCAYGCTCCGGTGTGGGGCCGGCCGAGCAGAGAAACGCGCTCACACAGACCGACATCACCCTCCCCAAAGGGGTAAGAGTCCTCCGAGGTGATGCCACCCTGTCCCCTGCAGCCCCGGTGTCGTGACAGTGTCCTTGTGCTGGTGGCGAGATGGTGACCCTGTCTGGGTTGCTGGAGCGGAAGTAAAGCAGAGCTGCTGCATCACGGCATCACGCGCCCGGCGCTGCATTATCGCACCCGGCTCAACTCGCTGAGTTTGCTGGATTTGACCCCCAGAGGGGGRAAACATCCCTGGCACACGTGGCAGAGGATGRGAGGTGTTGTGGCTGATGGCTCTCRCTSGCCCCAGGGTGGAGCRGGTCTGGTATGAAGCCCCCTCCACGCTGGTGGATGCCTGGAGGAGGAGGAGATCTGCCGTCAGCTCTGCCTTGAGCTGCGGAGGAAAATGGATGCTCTGCAGCTGGAGCTGGGTGCCACAGGCACAGTGGCTATCACTGGCCATGAGTGTGCCAGGTCTCAGCCATGCAGGGCACACGCACSTGCCTGGTGCCAGCTGCTCTAACGCCGGTGTCCTTGTCCCTTCCCCAGCACACCTGGAACAGCCAGTGCCTCCTGTCCCAGGTCCCCACGGGTCCTGCCTTTCAGAGCCTGCAGGATGAGCAGGGAGCCCTCGWGCTGGAGATGAGCTCCCACACATGCCTCTGGTGCCCCTGGGTTTTGGGAGGCCTGTTGGCACACATGGCAGCTGTACCTGGTGCCTCATGCTGCTGTCCCCTYCCTCAGCAGGAGCAGCAGAGGACCCTGGTGTCCCAGTGCCTGGCTGTGCCTGAGAGTGCTCCCAGCAAGCTGCAGAGCTGCCTGGAAGARCGGGATGCCGTGAGGCAGCGAGTGGATGAGGCCCTACGAACCAAGGAGCAGGTGAGGGGGCAGCTGTTGTGGGATTAAGGCAGTCTCAGCTGYCCTCATGCCTTGGGTGGGGCATCCTGCATCTCTGTGCATCTCTGGGGATGAAGATCTCCCTGGCACCCCAGGGGAAGAAAATCCCAAAGCAGAAGGCAAGAAGTGCTGTGTGAGGGAGGTTTTTTTGGCAYGGGCTGTGCCCCTCTGGGAGAAGGAGTCCTAGGCTGATGAAGGGATGGCTCCTGCAAGTCTTCCCTTGTGCCACAGCGTGGCTGGAGCAGCATCTTTTCCTCTGCAGGGATCTCTCTTCCTGGAGGCTTTCTGTGCCCGTGTCAGCGCCCACCTCCGTGCCCGTGACGAGAGCCTGGCCTCGCAGCAGGAGCTGAGCACGCTGCTGGCCCATGTCACCAACCTGCGGGTACTGAGCGGGCTGTGACCCCCCTACCCCACACTAGATCAGGGGCTGGAAGGGCACCCCATGTCCTGASCTTGGGGGATGCTCTCAATGGGCTCAACCAGAGGTTTCCTGGTGCTGTTGCTGCTGCTGGGAAGGCGCTGAAAATTTGGCCTCAGGGCTAGTGCTCACCTCAGCTTGGTGGCCATGAAATGTGGCTTTTCCACCACGGCAGTGCTGAGTCATCCCTCCTACCCTACAGACATCCCTGTCTGCTCAGGCTCAGTCTTTCCGCGAATTCTTAAATRGCATCTTTGAAAATCTGGAGAAGGATAGGAGAGCCTTGGATGAGGAGGTGAGGGGTGTCCTGTGGGGGCTCACTGCCCTGCCAGTGCTCTGTGCCCTGGGTGCTGTGACCTGTCCCTGGTCACACGGCAGAGCAGTGCCACCAGTGCCATGGCAGTGCCACCAGTGCTGAGCTGTGCCCATTGCTGTCCCCCTTCCCAGCGGGAGCGGGTGAACGCCCTGGCGTCCCAGTCCCATGCCATACTGGAGCAAGTGCCTGGCAAGCTGCAGAGCTGCATGGAGGAGCTGGCTGCCACTCAGGAGCGAGCACAGGAGGCTCTTCAAGCCAAGGAGGAGGTACAGGGGTGCCTAGTGCCATGAGTGTCTGAGGCACCAGGTGTTTTGGGGCACTCCAGAGCAAGCACCATTGTCTCCACAGGCRTCCTGCCAACTGCAGAAGACCTTGGTGGCTTTGCAGGACGCAGAGGCTCAGGTGGAGCAGCTGACAGTGTCCAACTCACGCCTGGGCAAAGGTAGGGGTGGGTGACWCTGGGGCTGGAGCTGCTCCATACCCCCTGCCCCTGTCCCCCCTGGGTGACTGCTGTGTCCCTCGCAGACCTGAGCTCCGTGATGATCAATCTGGCCAGTGTGGAGCAGGAGCGGGACGCGCTGCAGCAGGAGAACGAGAAGCAGTGGGAGGAGATGGCCCAGTGGGTTTGATCCYTGAGGTCCCCAGCCCCTCCCCACCTCCAGCCCCCAAAACACAGYACCCCCTGATCCCATCGCATCCCCACAGGCTGGCTCAGGAGAGGAACAGCCTGCAGCAGGAGTGCAAGGAGCTGTGCCAGGAGCTGCGGGAGGCCACCGAGTGCCGGGAGGTGGGAGCTGCCTGACCTTGCTGTGCTGTCACACGCTGCCGGCCCCCATCACGGCCTCTCCGGGAAAGCTGGCGAGTGGCCAGGAGCGGGATTAGCCCTCCTGCGGGGGGATGAGCTTGCGAGGGCGGTGACATCCCGCACGTAGYGCAGCTTTTCATCCTGCCCGGCAGGGATTCCCAGGGAGGGGGTTGGGCAGTTCTCGAAGACAGTTTTCCCCTGCAGGCATGGAACCATCCCCCAGCCTGTCCCATGTCCCCAGCAAACTGGTTTATAGGATTTAGGCTGCTCCTGACTGGAAACAGCGCCCTGAGGTGTGGGAGGGTCAGTGCTGGGGGTCCCAATGACCCCTCGGGTCTCTGGCTGCTCACGGCCGTGTCCCCCTGCCCCTTTACAGTTCCTGGACCAGGAGAACCAAATGTGCCGCACGCAGCTGCTGGAGGTGGAGGCCAGGCTGAACTCCACGCAGGCCACGCTGCAGGAGCGTGTCCTGCAGCACGAGGAGCTGATGGAGTCCCAYCAACGCCTGCGGTACTGCCCCACTCACCAGCTCCACTCAAACCTCTCTATTTTTGGGAAATCAAGCCCTTCCTGGGGGGTTGAAGGGGACATTGTGACCATTGCCACAGTCACTGCTGCCCCAGCCAAGTGTGGCTGTTCAGATGGGTGGGAGAGGCTGTGGGGAAGCCCAGCAGATCTCATCCTGAGAGAAGCTGCCTAAATCTGTGAGATTTGCACCATTGCTGGTTCATGGCGAGAGGCAGGCACGGGAAATGTCCCCATCCCACAGTGAGGAGGGGAAATGCTGCTCCTGCTGAGGCTGATGACATCCCACAGGGAAGAGCAGGCCGCCCTCAGYAAGGAGCTGAACAGCACCAAGGCCGAGCTGCTCAACCTGCAGACAAAGAGGAACAAAGTTTCATGGTGCTCCACGGACATYGTGGAGAGCAAGATGCGGCTGCAGGAGCTCGCTGACTGCCTCAAGGCTGCTCTGGAAGAGCAGGTAGGAGCCCTGTGCTGGGGACAAGGATGACAGGGTGGCCCAGTGGGGTCACACACGCGTGGCTCTCTGTGTGACACCCTGTGCTTGCTGGGCCCGTCACAAACTGCGCTCTGGTGCTGTGCTCTCCCTCCCCCTGAAGGATGACGATGATGATGCTGCTCCATCAAGAAGCAAAGCCTGGACACCGGCCCCCCGGACCCCAGGCTGGCAGACCCCACGCCGCCCCTGGACCCCGGCCTTCCGCACCCCTGCGTGCCACACCCCACACCGTGCCGGCAGCTCCTTCGTGGGCAGCGTCCTGAAGGCAGTGGCGGGGAAAGGTGAGCTGGCACCCCCTGTCTGGGTTTTTGTGGGTTTTGAGGGGTCCCAGGATAGGAATTGTTCTCTCCCCACCATGCTGGGGATGTGCAGGGCTGGGCACAGCCGCTGTCCTCTCCTCTTGCAGATGCCAACGAAACCACCAGAAGTGAGGGTGCAGTTSCCAAGGACAGACTTGCATCCACACCAAAGCCCATAGGTACTGGGGYTGTCACCCTGTCTGGAGCCCTGCTCTGAAGCTGCAGGGCTGTTGTGCAGAGGGATGAGCAGGCTCTCCTTCCTCTGTGTGCCCTAGGGCTGATGTTCCCTCGGCGTTTCTCACAAAGCTCTTTCCTGCCTGCAGATCCTGAGGATGCTCTGCTGGAGAGCGTGAAGGAGCTGAGATCTGTGGTCTCCAACCTCGCCATGCTGAGCTGCCGCATCCARGAACTGGAGCAGAGCGAGTTCAGGGCACTGCGGACAGAGATGTGAGTTCAGTGGGGGCTCATGCTGAGGGTTGGGCAGGGGYATCACTCTCCTGGGCATGGCCTTTCCTGTGGGCAGCCTGCCTGGGTTTGCYTTTCGCCCCAGTGCTGGATTAGACCTCTCCTGCCATGGCTAGATGGGCTTTTTCCAGCTGCTTGGGCTGGGCCAGGTGTCTTCTCTCACCCCAGGAGGGGTTTTGGTGCTGTGCTCAGCTGTGATCCCCACCTGTCCCCTCTCCCAGCTCTGAACTGCAGCTCCGCCTGGAGACGGTGACAGCCGAGAGTGAGGAGACGGTGGACGCCCAGGCTGCCACCATTGCCAAACTGAACAAGGTGCTGAGGACCAAGCTTGAGGTGAGCCAGAAATGGGCCAGCACTCACCCCAGGGCAGAGCCGAACTGGGACGGCCGCTGATCTAGGACACAGAGAAATCTGGTGATGCCCCATGGGTGCTCCTGGCTTGTCTGACCTCCTCAGGCATGAGAAAACCCSCTGCAGGGTGCTGGGGGTGGCCAGGGCTGGGCACTGCCTGACCCTGCTTCTTCCTCCTGGCAGAACGAGAAGGAGCTGCAGGACGTGGTGAAACAGCAGGAAGAGAAGATGTTGCAACTCATCGACAAGAGCGGGGAAGTCACGGTGCGTGATGAGGACATGGGTGGGCAGCACCCTGGGGGGCTGCCGGCCACAGGACCCCTCTCAACATCTCCTCTTCCTCCCCAGAGGCTGAAGGCAGAGGTCTCCCAGCTGAAGCGTTCGCTCCAGCGCGCAGAGACGGAGGCCAAGGTGCTGTGGGAGGAGATGCGGAGCAAGGAGCACCAAGTGGACACTGCCTATGTCCAGGAGCGGGTCATGCTGCGGCGAGAGGTGAGGCCCCTGCAGAGCTGAGGACTGCTCGTCTCACCCCACCAGGGACGAGGAGACCTCTTTACACCTCGCTCCTCACACCCTGCCCCCACCCCAGAGCTTTCCCCCGCAGGGGTCTCAGCAGGGCTCGCTCCTTTTGCAGGTGGATAAACTGCGGCTGCTGCTCCTGGAGAAAGAGGATGAGAATCTGCGGCTCACTGACAAGTACCTGGAGCAGGTATGGGGCTGCCCTAGCTCCAGTCATACAATCAGAATGGTTTGGTTGGAAGGGACCATAAAGATCACGAGTTCCAAAACTCCTGACATGGGCAGGGGCCCCCTCTCCCTTCTGCACTGGTCCCTGCTCAAGTCTGGAGCAGAGTCCTGACAGGCATCTCCCACCACCACAGGTCCGAGGGCTGGAGGTGAAACTCCATCAAACCCAGAAAGTGCTGAAGACCCACGAGGAGATGCTGGAGAAGATGAAAGAGGTGAGATTTACAGTTCATTGCTCACCCTCGCTGTGACTACAGCACCGCCAACCCAAACACTATCACTGCTGCTGTCCCCAGGTCCTGTCGGCTGTCCCCGAGGAGGCTCTGGGCTGCCAGGAGCTCCAGAGCCTGTTGTGCTACCTGGGCCTGAAGCCAGCCAGCAAGGAAGCTGCTGAGCCGCTGTAGCCTCTAGCCTGAAACCTTTCCTGTTGTTAATGTTGTAATTATTTATTGAATAAAGTTGTGTTGGCTTTTACCCCGCCTGCCGTGTTGCATTCAGGAAGCTCCCGGTGCTGTGGGTGGGGACAACTTGTCCAGCCTGTGCCGGTTGCTCCTGTTCCGTCACGGGGCCGTGGGCACAGCTCCCTGCCACCCAGGGCCTCTCCTTCTTGGCGGGGGACACATCCCCCCCTCTGCCAGCGCTGGCTCTCATTGAGGCACCGCGTTCCCCAGGCTCCCGCCCTGTGGCCCCGGCAGCAGCCGGAGCCAGCTTCCCTTCCCTGCTCCCGCTCCTCCTCCTGCCCTAGATTCCCTCTGTGCCCCGCTCCGCAGGGGAGGGTCGGGATCCTGCACCCCATCATGGGGCTGTGGGCACATGCCTGTTGCGTGGGAATTGTTCCAGAGCCTGGATYCTRCACCTTTCTATCATGRGGATGGTTCCAGAGGCTGGATCCTGCACCCCCATCACAGGGAAGGTTCCAGAGCCTGGATCTTACACCCCCATCACAGAGATGGTTCCAGAGGCAGGATTCCCATACTGCCCCATCATGGGATGGTTCCAGAGACAGAATCCTGCACCCCCATCACGGGGATGGTTCCAGAGGTGGGATACTGCGTCCCCACCACGGGGCTGGCTCCAGAGGCAGGATCCTGCACCCCCCCCAGCCAAGGGATGGTTCCAGAGGCTGGAACCTGGAATTCTGCCTCCTCCATCATGGGATGGTTCCAGAGGCTGGACCCTGCACTCCCGTCATGGGAATGGTTCCAGAGCCTGGATCCTGCACCCCCACCACGGGGATGTTTCCAGAGCCTGGATACTGCATCCCCATCACGGGGCTGGTTCTAGAGGCTGGATCCCGCACCCTGTCACGGGGCTGTGGGCACACGCCTGTTGCACGGGGATGTTTCCCCCTCCCCGCCTGCCTCCGGCACGCAGCATCCCATGGCTCAGCCAGCGCTGGGAGCTCTGCCAGCTCCTGCTCCCAACCCCCCTTGGTCCCCGCTGCTGCATGGAGGGGGGGCTCCCTGAGGGGCTCCCCGGCTCCCAGCACAGCTCCAGCTTCACCTCCCTCCTTCSCTGCTGGGGCAGCTCCTGCGGGATCCCCCTCCCGGCGTTCCTGACCCCAAGGATGCTCCCCACCGCCACRGGGACCGCGCGGCGCCTCCCTCCCCTGCCACGGCCCGAAATAGCAGCGCTCCAACAAGTGCTCTGGTTTTTAATGGCCTCTTTCTCCTGCCCAAAGGGGGAGGAAATCACCTTCCCTTGCCCTCTGCCACAGCCCTACCGCTCCGCGTGGGGCGGGTACCGTGCCACGTCGGGCGCTGGCACCGATTTACCCGGGAAATGGAGGTGTTTGGGGCCGTCCCTCCGTGTCCTGGGTGCGTGGGTGGYTCGTGGGGAAGCAACACTCGCTGCTCCCTGGCATTGCCTCCCTCCCTGCTCCRTGACCCCGCGGGGTCGGGTACAGCCCCCCGAGGTGCGAGGCCGGCAGCGGGGGCCCCCGGTTCTGGGATGCAGGGAGATGTGCTCCGTTCCCTGGATTGGGGCCACACAGGGTGGCTGAGCCTCCTTTTACGGCGGGATTCGGTACAGCGGGGCCTTGGCAGCCGTCCCCGTGAGGCGAGTGGGGACACTGGTATTGTCCCTGTGCCGGCTGCGGGTGGTTTTTTAGGGGGGCTGGTCTCCTGTAAGTGCCCCCACCATGTCCTGGAGGGTCTGGGGCTCAGTGCTGCTGTGGCCCCCGGTCACAGAGGTGACCCACCACAGTAACAGTGACCCCAGCCTGGGGGTGGGACAGGGGGTCCCTGGCCCAAAGGTGATGMGGGGAAAGTCTCTGTTCCCAGCTGGATGTGGAAATAGGGGGGCCACAGCCTGGGGATGGCATGGAGGGGTCCCTGCCCATGACCAAGCAGAAGTAGTGGGACAGAGGGGTCTTCAGCAGCAACAGGAGATGGCACAGTGGATGGCAAGGGGGGCCCTGCCCATGGCAGGGGGTGACTCAGCTGCGTCCCTGGGCGATAGCGGGGGGGCACTGAGGGGTCCCCATCACCATCAAGGCGTCGCAAAGGGGTGATAACAGTGGGGTCTCCGGCTTGGGGTTGCCACCTCGGGGTCGCCAGGAGCGCGGGGG